TGTCACTAGCAGCAAAATTCTCTTGGGAACTTCATTAGCTGGATGTGAAGAATGCCTTCCTAAATGGTGATCTTCATGAAGAGGTATTCATGGAACCCCCACCTGGATATGATGYTGGAAAGAARGTRTGTAAACTAAGGAAAGCATTATATGGTTTGAAGCAGTCTCCCCGGGCATGGTTCGAGAGACTTTGTATGGCTATGAAAAAAGTGGGGTACACTCAAAGTAGTGCAGATCATACATTGTTTACAAGGAGACAGGATAACAAACTTACAGCACTCATTGTTTATGTGGAAGACATGGTGATCACCGGAAATGACTTGGAAGAGATGAAGAGGCTGAAGGAGTTCTTAGCTTCAGAATTTGAGATCAAAGACGTGGGAAACCTGAGATATTTTCTTGGGAAGATATGTAGACAGGAATCTACATATGTCAGCGGAAATATGTGTTAGATCTCCTACAGGAAACAGGCATGATGGGGTGCAGGCCAGTAGACACCCCAATAGAACTGAACCATGGACTACAAGAATCAATGGGTGAGGAATACTGTGATAAAGAGAGGTACCAAAAATTGGTAGGAAAGTTGATATACTTATCCCTTACTCGGCCAGACATTGCCTATGCAGTGCATGTTGTCAGTCAATTCATGCACTCGCCAAAGACCCCTCATATGAGAGCAGTGGAGAGAATTCTCAGGAACTTAAAGACTTGCCCAAGGAAAGGAATCCTATTTAAGAAAAGCAACAAACTTGAAATTGAAGCCTACACTGATGCAGATTGGGCTGGTTCTATTGGAAACAGAAAATCAACCTCAGGTTACTGTACATTCTTAGGAGGGAACCTGGTCACATGGCGCAATAAGAAGCAGAATGTAGTGGCTAGATCAAGTGCAGAAGCAGAATAGCGAGCTATGGCACACGGGGTTGCTGAACTCTTATGGCTCAGAACTCTTCTTAACGAGCTTGGTATTAAGGCTGAGGGCCCTCCCAGGCTGTATTGTGATAATAAAGCCGCTATCAACATTGCCAACAATCTCGTGCAGCATGACAGGACAAAACATATTGAAATTAACCGACACTTTGTCAGAGAGAGAATTGTTTCAGGAGAACTCTGTGTGCCTTATACACCATCTGAGATTAAAATTGCAGATGTATTAACTAAAGGACTAGCAGCAACAAAGTTCAGAGACCTACTTGGCAAGCTAAACATGATTGATATCCATGCTTAGCTTGAGGGGGAGTGTTAGAGTGTTAGAATGTTAGAACCAAGTCTCTTTGTATGAGTGTTCGGCTGATAAGAGTCTTATTAGCCCATACTTAAGTTATCATGTAACTGGGCCTGGGTTAATGGGCCTAAGCCTGTTTAATGGTTTTAAGTTAACTGGGTGTCCCATCACTAATCAGGGGCATTCCAGTAAATTCTTGTATCATTGTACTACATTCAAATATAAATAATAGCTGGTCGATTGGGCAGTTCAGTTCGACATTTTCCAGCATACCAGTGGTTTTCTTCTTCACTTCTCTACTTCGAATACAGCATTCAGCTCACAATTACAAAGACCAAAGCTTACTCTCAATGATGAAAAATTAGTGATAGAACATTGAGAGTTTCTATTAAATAAACTAGCAACATAAAAGAAAATTTTTCAGACAAGGGATTAATTGATAATACTACCTGTAAGACACCCAGCCAACGTATACGGTCTACATCCACTCCATAAGTTAAATGATTACGCCCATGGAAGTACCCACCTAAGATGAAAAACATGAACAAACAATCATTAAGCCATGCTCAGTTAACAAGTTTGTTACAAGGAATAGTAGCAACCAATAAAGAAATAAGTATTAACCCAAATTTAGGAAAATAAGTTACTTCACTGTAAGTGTTAGGGGTCAGTGGTTGGAATATGTTGGGGAAAACATGAAATTAATGGATCTATCACCAGAACTACCAACTGTCTAACAGATGGACTAGCAAATCAAATTTTGGTCCCATAAGGAATTTGTCATATCATGAAAGGTGGCTAGTAATACTAGGCTAAACCACGGGATGATCATGGCATACATTGTACACAAGGTTCAAAATATTGATACAGGCCAATACACCAGTAGGGCCATATCGGCCTGTATCGTGGCTCACCTATTTTTTAGTTTTTCTTCTCCAACTGGTTCAGAGGGGTCGGTTTAAGGCCCTTCTACCCCCTGAACCAGGTCAGACCCCAAAACACCCTCTGTAAGGGTGTATCAGGAAGCCACAGATATGATACATATCAGCTGATACAGCCTGATACATATCAAAATTTTGAACCTTGATTGTATGTACTACTTATTTAACCAGAGAAATAAAAAATCACAACTACCATTAAAAATTAAATGGATTTATCCCTCATTAGGATGAAACCAGCATAAAGACGGCATAAAAGCCACTTAATAAATAATGAAAACTCATATTACTAGCCTGTTGATAATTATAATCACCTTTCTAAGAGTGCAAACAGATTAGGGCATTACTTGATTACATTGGACTTGGTCGCTTTAAAAGGGATTGCAGTAATTGTAGACACTGGAGATGCTTCACATTTATGTAATTTTGACTTATGCACATGAGATGAAGTTGAGAGAACAAGTTCATGCAAGGTCTTCTTAAGGTGGAAAGATTCATACCTTGCAGCACCAAACCCAATAGAAAGAGCTTCATTGTCCTTAGAATAACTTTCTTCGTTGCAATGCATTTGTTAGATTTTTTCTGAATGATGTTACAGATCATGATTACAGCCAGTCAAAAAGATATGCTAAAAAACAATAAGTGATTGAAGTATATATTTTAATAAACAGGAACGTATCCACAAGAACATAAGGATATTGTGTTCATGTAATGTACTTTACTTTTTTCTAAATGAAAATTCATTATATTATCAGGGAAGGAAACGAAAGGAAAATAAGAAAATCTTCTTTAAAGATTGTACAGAAAACTTCTGTCAGAGGTGAATTTCTGAATACCCAAGAACAAGGCATCCACATGGCAATTAGCCCAACCACATGGGTGAGATCAGCTTAGGATTAGGAAGAAACTACTTTGGGGCAGGCCAGACTGCAGTAGAGGAAAAACAGAACGAAGTGGCATGTGGCAGGGATGGAGGTAACTATGGGAAATCATGTCTCATACATTGGTGAGTCAGATGTCTGGAGGAACTGCTGGGAGGAGGGGGCCCCAATAGGGCTCTGTCAAAAAACATTTGGCAAACTTCCCATGCTTCAGAGCCAAGCCAAGCAAGGAGGATTGCATGATTCTAAAAAAAATATTATTTTATCCAAATACCCATGCAGCAAAGATGTAGTTGACATCAAGACAGCCTATCAAAGTCATTACTCAATACGAGAGCAGACACAGAAGGCAAGAGAGTAAACTAGAGGAGAAAGAAAAAGGTGGCAATCCACTCAATGCATCCTGATGACCCTCTTTCCCTATCATTCCCTGCTCCCAGAACAACAATCCCACAGAAACCGGAAAATGGCTTAGTGAGGGAGATGATCATCCCATCAGCCTTCCCTTTTTTCCAGTTAACATCAGCCTACCCTGATTTCTATTTGGACGATTTGGCATATTCCATGTGTCCCAGCCTCCTAGGACCAAATCAATTCTAACAACTTCATAAATCATAACCAAGATTGCAGCATATAAAGATCTGAGAAAGTTAGCAAAGGGGCAAATTGAGGGTTTTTTTTTTTTTTTTTTGGGGGGGGGGTGATCATGCAAGGCAAACTGATGTTTGATGATTTATCAAGATTAACAACCAGCTAAAAGATCAAAAACATCACGAGTAGAGGGTTATTAGTTAAAAAGGTCAAAGTGGTTAATGTGATTCAGAAATTTTATACAAAAGTTACTAGTTAAAAGCTTAATCAGAGATACAAAACAAATAATTATGAAGCACATTTCTTAAGTGGTTCCATCATCTATTTAATAAAATAAAAGATTTAAAGTCATCAACTAAAGGAAGTCAAAGAGTCTTTGTTTTCCTTTTCTTTCTTTTTTTTTCCCATTTTGTTATGCTTTGATCTGCTGGTTCCCATATGAAGTTTGTAGACACCACATCCTTTTCAGGCTGGCTCAAGTCAAGATTGATGTTTTTTTTTTCCATTTGCAGACTTCTACTAGTTCTTGGGGACTAACTATGAGAGATCAGAGATATTCAATGTGGAACATTCTGAGATATGAGAAATCTTCAGAACTTGCAATATGGCTATTTTCGAAAATACCATTGGACTTGATAATTTACTAATTTTTAAACTATTATCATATGAAAGTATATCCACAATGATAGCTATAGATTTTGAATCACTCAAAAAAGAGGATTTAGAATGGGTTTTTCCTATTTTTTTGAAGGTTTTAGGCTTTTTTTTATCAATAACAATTTCATTAATTCACCAAAGAGATTACATAAAAAAGACAAACACACTTATCTTCCAAGTACAATCAAGAAAACAAAAGAATAGGTGGAGACAAAAAATTACAACTTAGCCCAAAACATTGAATCCTTTTCTTCCCCTTGTTTAGCTAAACCATCAGCTAGAGAATTGGCTGATCTTTTGACCCAACACATTTTAACTTCCATCTCCCGCACCAGCCACTTAAATTTCCTCCTCTGATTACTGTACCTCCATAAACCATTGTTGTCTGCATTCAGCCACCCTATCACCACCTCCGAATCCCCTTCAATTAAGAGTTTTCTGATGTTCATCTCCTTGGCTTTCTGGACTCCTTCCATAACTGCAAAGATCTCAGCTCTAAGGGAGTCACCCACTCCAATTGGGCCTAAGAACAAGGCAAAAATGATCCCATTCTCATCCCTAAAGACACCCTCAATCCCTGATTGTCCAGGGTTCCCCCTACTACTCCCATCAAAATTTAATTTCATGAACCCAGCAGGTGGAGTTGTCCAAGACACTCATTACTGACTTGGTCTGTGTGCCCTTTGCTATTTCACCCCACTTCCTCAACATGTCATCCACTGTGTAACCTGTGAATAGTTCCGAAGATTTCAGCCATTGTACAGCCCTAAAATGAATGATAGCCTTCAGTTCTTCCACCCCTCTCTCAGCCGCTGAGAATATCCTGAAGTTTCTTTCTTCCCATATTGTCCAACATACTGCAGCCCTCAAACCTCTCCACATAGTCCTTCCCCTTTTCCTACGCCACCTGAAAACAGAAGGGGAAAAAAGGCCCTGCAGATCTGATGGAGGGTTCCCTCTACATCCAAAGAGGGAAAAAGCCCATTCCCAAATTGACCTCGCAAAATGGCAAGACACCACTAGGTGAAAACCAGTCTCCCCATCCGCTTTACATAGAACACACCAATGGGGTGGCAAGCAAGTATTGGGTCGCTTCTTTTGGAGTAGATCACCAGCGTTGAATCTTTCCAGATAAGCTTCCCAACAAAAACTACCAACCCTAGGAGGGATTGCTCTGCACCAAACCTCATCAACAGGGAAAGGGTTTATGAATGGTTTTATGAGTTTTCATAATTTTCTAAGTCCAGTCCAGTTAGAATTTTGTGGACAATTCCTTCAAACTTTTTTCTTCAGCCAGGTTAAATTGTTACCATCCTGTTTGGTCTACCCCCAGCCCTTCTAGCCCCTTCAACTTGCAACAGATTGCTTCTTCTTATGGGTGTTGTAGATGGTCTTCTATGCACATGACTAAACCATCTTAGCCTACTTTCTCTCATTTTATTACCTATTGGAGCTACTCCTAGGTTCCTTCGTATGACTTCATTTCTGACTCTATCCTTTCTAGTTTTTCCAATTGTTATCGAATATTTATAATTATAACTATTTCTAAAATTCTTGAAATTCAAACAATTGTTTATACTGAAGAGTTTTACTTCTCTAGAACTAGAAGAACTCGAGTTTAAACAATGACTCAACTATAGATCTCACTTTAACATGAAAACTTTAGATTCTATGCCCCATAAATTGGTTTGAGCTAAATCCATCAATAAATAGTGGTGATTTTTCATGTTATAGAAACTTAAACTTGCAATCTCTCTCTAGTTTGAGGTGAAAGAACAGAAGCATCCTCAAGGAGAAGCCTAAGATGCATCCTGAGAAGCCTCCATGCACAAAAACCTTCTTTTCCCTTGAGTTGTAAGTAACCTATGACAAGTGTAGATCTTTACTTTAGGGCAATTTTTTCCATGAAAATTGTATATATATACTTTGAGGCAATTTTCTTCAAAGTCCTAGAATCATTGGCTTATTAGTTCCTTCTTCTATCATAACCAATCAAAAAAATATTATTAAAATCTAAATATTAGAGCACAAAGATCATTAACTCCAATTGTGGGAGAAGTATTGAGATACAAGTATGCCATGTCAATCTCAAATAGAAATAACCAAGGATTATCTAAGATGGCCAGGCCTCCATACAATTAAAAGTGTAAGCATATTATATATCATAAGAGAGAGTACATGAGAGAATGTAAACTGATGCACGAAATATAGAAAAGCAGACCCATAACACCCATGCAAGAATCGAATACGTGCACACATGCAGAGAAGGAAAATGTGCGGCTGATTGGCTGGCAAAGAGATATTTACAGAAAGACAAGGAGTTCGTTGCTGGCAGGGCGCTGCCCCGCTGGCATTGAACTTTCCACGTGTATCAATATATATCTATATCTATATCTATCTGTATCAATATATATCAACATATATATATAAGGAAACTGTGTGGCTGATTGGCTGGCGAAGAGAGGTTTACAGAGAGATTAGGAGTTCGTTGCTGGAAGCCCTTGGGACCTTCATTTTTTTAGTGTTTCTTGATGCTGCATTGAACCTTCCTTGTGTATCAATATATCTATATATATAGAAATGCAGCTCCCCTACAAAATTTATGTGGGAATGGATAAACAGCTCCCCCTACATGTACTATTTACCCTGTTGGCATTTTGTGTTGTACAATGCCTTATCTTCCCCTTCCTTTTGAGCTTGTTTCCTCGTAGTTTGATGTCCAAATTCCAAATAGTGTCTAAAAAGCTAAACTGCAAGCAAACCTGAATAGAAAAATATAATTGATGAGGGGATGAAACGATAATCAAGAGTGGCACATAGGACTTGGTTGATCTTCTAGTAGCAAAAAAAAAAATGCAGTATAAGTAGGTTTTTGTTTTTTTTTTTGAAGAAGGTAAAGTATTGAATTGTAATAATTTCCCCTGGGATAGTATTGTTTGGTGACAAAAGGAGAGTATGCAAATTGAAGAAGGTAATCTATAGGCCAAAGCAATCACCAGGAGCCTAGTTTGAAAATTTCAGTTATGCTGTCCAAAAATTTGGGTTTTTTTTTATGGAAAAAAGGTGAGCTACACAAACCTGGGGGTAGCTCTTCCCCTTACATCCGCATCACAAATAAACTTAAAATCACAAGACCTAAACTCTTTACTAGCCTCCCGGTTGTTAAGAGCTTTATGAGCTAACCAATCAGTCGTTTGATTTGCTTCCCAAATACGTATGCTTATTCAAGTTGAAAAATTCAACAAGGTTCCGACATTCCCTAATGATACTACCCATTCTCCACGGGGGCGAGACACGACCATTGAAACAATCTATAACCATTTTATAATCACCTTCGATGGTGATTTATTGGTCCCTGAAGTCAATTGCGATATTAATGGCCTCCCATGCTGCCCACACTTCTGCAAGGTTGATCGTCGTGATACCTATCCCAAGCGCTTTGATCTCGAGAACTTTACCTTGATGGTTCCTAGCAACACACCCAATGGCACAGTTGCCATTAATCAAACAAGTAGCATCAAAGTTAATTTTGATGCAATCAGTTTCAGGCCTAAACCACTCAACATGAGTTATAATTTTACTGTTAATGTTACCCATGCAAGAAGATATCTCTTTAATTTCATTCCAGTTAGCCAAAGCTCTACCAATAATATTCTCTACACTGGAACCTCCATTAAAACATTTATTATTTCTATTCTTCCAAATGAACCAAGAAACACAAGCAAATTATTCTCTAAGGAAAATATCCCTGAAGATACCATTCGGCTTGCTTAGATAAGCCCACCACTGACTAACTGATGACACTGAGTTCCCAGGAGCTGGTAATTCCCCTTCTAATCTACACCAAATTTGTTTAGAAACTTCACATTTGATAAATAGGTGGTCAATGTCCACTTCCCCACAAAAAAACACAAGCTGGATCAATCCCAAAACCCTTCGCATTGAGATTGGTTTTTGTGGGAAGTCTTTTATTTAACAAGAGAAAAAGAAAAATTTTAATTTTTGGGGGGAGCATAAGTTTCCAAAAATTTACTTGATAGTTGGAAGCAAGACTCTCACCACCATTAAAACAACACTCCTCGTTATAAGCTGTTTTAACTGAGAAATTACAATCTAGAGGGAATTTCCAAACTCTTTTGTCTTCATAGTCCCCGTGGGGAATCAAAATAGGTTTGATAAGTTGCCAAACCTGATGATTGGTAATAGATTTTATGAGATTCTCATTCCAAACTCTCCTCTCAAGGTCAATTACCCTACTTACAGTTAAATCCGTACCAATCAAATCACTCTTATTAGCTAGCTCAATCAGAGGGTCATTACCAGCCCATGAATCCAGCCAGAAATTCACATTCTTTCCGTTGCCAATTCTCCACATTGAACCCCTTTTAATTAGATCTCTTGAACCCAAAATTCCTCTCCATGCCCAAGAAGAACTACTCTTTTTATTTGGATCCCAGAAATTGCTTTTATTAAGATATATATTAGTCACAACCTTGACCCATAGATTGTCATGGCAATTTAAAATTTTCCACCCCAATTTAGCAAGAAGGACCTTATTTAACCATTTGAGATTCCTCACACCAAGTCCACCCCACTTTTTGGGTGAACAAACCCTACTCCACCTGACAAGATGAATGGGGTTTTGGCTCCTTGCATTCGACCAAATAAAATCCCTTTGTTCTTTTTCTAAATCAGCAACAATACTACTTGGAATTTTAAAGGATTGCATAACAAATTGAGGCACCATGGAGGCAGAAGAAATAATTAAAGTTAATCTCCCTGCCAAGGAGAGAGAATTTTTTTTCCAACCTGCCAATTTGTTAGTCATTTTTTCTTTCAAATGTCTGAAAGTATCTTTTGAAATTCTACCCTCAATAATAGGGGCTTCAAGATAAGTCCTATTCCTACTCCCAATCGGAATTTTAAGAATTCTGGCCATAACTTTCTGAAGCCTATTGGGGATGTTTTTGGAAAAAGTTATGGTCGACTTAAGATAATTAGGCAGCTGGCAAGAAGCTTTAGCATAGCTATCCAAAACCTCCTTGATTTTGAGACAAGCACTGATAGAGGCCTTAGCAAAAATGATACAGTCATCAACAAACTGCAGAATTGGAATTGTCGGACCTCCCCTAAAGGCTTTACAACCCACATCATTCTTGCCACCAACAGCCTCCATATGAAGTTTACTTGAAAGGGCTTCAGCACAAAGGACAAAAATATACGGGGGGGAGGGGATCTCCCTGCCGAATACCCCTAGAAGCTCTTATGGTTCGAGTGGGAGAACCATTTATGAGAATCTGAAAGGAAACTGAAGTGATGCATTCCATAACCCAATTAATCCATTTGACATGGAATCCGAATTTAACAAGAACTCTCCTAATAAAGTCCTATTCCAACCTATCATAGGCCTTCTCCATGTCAACCTTACATGAAAGCATCCCCTACTTGCCTTTCTTTTTCTTCATAGTCTGCATAATTTCATGAGCAATAAGAATGTTATCTGTAATTTGTCTATTTGGAATGAATGCACTCTAGAAGGGGGAAATAATGTCATCCAAGTACGGCTTAATCCTGTTCACTAAAATTTTAGAAATGATCTTATAAATAACATTACATAGGCTAATGGGCCTAAAATCATTAATTCGCTCCGGGTTATCACACTTTGGAATAAGAGTAATAAACGTTCTATTTAACTCAACATTCATTTTCCTGGAATGGAAGAAAGTTTTAACTGTTTTACAAAAAGAATCCCCAACAGTATTCCAAAACTTTTTGAAAAATGATGCATTTAGCCCATCTGGACCGGGGGCCTTCATATCCTTCATCGAAAGAAGGGCATTGTGGATCTCTTCATTCGAAACTTCTTTACAGAGGGTAGCATTCATAGATTCTGTTGCACAACTGCCAATATTCGAAATGAAATTGTCAACATCCATAGTACCCTCAGCATTGAATCTCTTCTCAAAACCACTATAGAACAACTTTGATATTCTCTATATCTTCCACCCAGTTACCATTGTCATTTCTGATTTTCCTAATTTTATTTTTGTTTCTTCGAATTGTTGCAGTGGTGTGGAAAAATTTATTATTCTTATCTCCAAGCTTGAGCCAGTCAACCCTAGAATTTTGAGCCCAATATACTTCTTCTCTAGCAAGAGTGTCATTGAGTAGCTTCTGGAGGGCTTTCTCATGATTAATGAGACTTCTGTTATTTGGGTTTATAAGAAGCCAAGCTGACTATGCACACATTCTTTTTTTACAGTGAAGCTAAAATAGATTATTAAGAAATGAAAAGAGTGCAAAAAAAAGGTGATGAGAACAAAGCAACTGACCCTCTACAAGCAGCCATTAAAAGCTTGCAGCACCCTCCCTAACCTTGATAGAAATACAAAGAATCTCTCCGTACTCATTCTAATTTCTCAAGTCACCAACCACTTCAATACAAACAATTCAAACCTCAGACAAACCAACAAAGAAAATATAGTCATGAACAGCATTAACCAAACAAAAACCCAATTGTAGGCATAGCAATGCAACTCTTACCTTTAAAAAAGTTCGATGTTCAAAGTAAGTAAACATGTAACAAACAATCTCAAACATAAAAAACAAAATACAAGATAACCAAGAATTTCCATGTAGGAAGAGCGCATAAGCTGTATATTATTAAGGTTCTTAAGAAAATCAAAGTAAATAGGGTAATTCTAAACCAAAGGTGAAAGTTCAAAATACCTTGAATACGAGACCAATGGAAAAGCCAACACTGACAAGAAAAAACGGCATCACAAAGTCTGCAAGTGTGACTCCAAACCATGGGGAGTGATTTATGGATGGAAAAGCGCCCCCGGCATCATCAACTAGAATCATCAACTAGGAAAACCAAACAAGGGTGTAAGAAAAAGCAAGTTCACACAGAGGCTACCTTCAATAGAGATATGAAAGTAAAGAACTTACATGCATATTTTGTCTAATCTGTAGACAATATATAAGTAAACTATTTAATAGTATTACTCCAAAGGAAAGACTTACTATGCTGTTTTAGTGGATCCTATACCTTGATCCCATATCATTTGAACTACACCCGCCCCCATATAGTTGGGATAAAGCTTAGATGATGATGATGAGGAGGAGGATGAGGCCTATACCTTGATCCCATATCATTTGAACTACACCCACCCCCATATAGTTGGGATAAAGCTTAGATGATGATGATGAGGAGGAGGATGAGGATGATGTTGATGGTGACAGCCAAAGGCACTCCAACTACAGAATAAGAACATAGTTAAGGTATGAAACCAATGTTTCCTTTGGGGGAAGGGGGGAGGGGTGGGTGTAGTTCAAATGACATGGGATCTGTTCGAGTCAACTAAACAGGGGCAATTTGGTCTTTTATATTCTTATTAAGTTGTGCTTTGTCAGTTTTGTCTTACTTTAAGTTGATGTCCCCACACTTAAGTAAGGGCATATTAGTCATTGTAATACTATCACATCTATATAAGCTTGGGTCAGCTAGGGGAGAGATTATTCTCTCCAGTCCAGACCGTGGTTCTCTCAATCTCTTCTTTCTCTTTTCTCTTCCTCTTCCTCTTCTTTCTTTCAACCTATGACTGAAACACAAGGGCTGAAGAGGCTGTGGCAACCCTATTTCAGATCTGTAAAAGAGAAGACAGCTGCAGTTTTTTTTCTCTTTTCCCTCCTTTCTTTTCTGGGTCGAGTTGAGGGACTGAAGAGGCTGTGGCAACCCTATTTCAGCACCCTGTGAATGGCTGTCATGATGAGTGACAGACCTAGTGATCAAGTGGTGGTTTGTCTGGTGGTTTGGACCCTCATTTGAGCAGTCAAGAGGGCTTTTTCCTTGGTCAGTTGACAGCACTAATTCTGACTGAAACTGTGGCTGAACTTTGTGGTGGAGAAAGTTGCTGATGTATTCTAGGTATGGTTCTTGCATGTCTCTCCTCACTATGTGGGTTGGAAGGTGCTATTAGGAGGTAGGTGAACTGCTGTAATGCCCAGGTAATATTTCTTTTGTGTGTGACAATTAGTTCTTGTGAGTTGGTAGTAGAACAGTAGTGGTTGACCTGGTGGTGTTGACAGTTTTGAGTAGACAGCATTATGACAACAATAGGAGAGACTAGTGGTGATAAAAAATCAAATATGATGATAACCCCTGATTTTCTAAGTGTGCAAATGACATCAATCAAACTTAATGGTGAGAATCATGTGCCCTGGGCCAAATCAGTGGAGGTTTTTCATAGGGCTAAGAAAAAGGTGAAGCATGTGAAGGATGAGAAACCCTCAACTGAATCTCCAGGGTATAGTGAGTGGGAGGAGGAAGATTCTCAAATTATGACATGGTTGTGGAATAGTATGGAGTCCAAAATAGTAAACTTTATGTTTCTTGATACAGCCAAGGAGATATGGAATCATGCTAGGAAACTCTACTCTAGTCAAGATAACACAAGGATAGCTCTACCAAGAGTATTTCAATTTGCAACAAGGAAATCAAAAGTCTTGAAGAATATTATGCTAGTATGAGAAGTCTCAGGAATGAACTCAATGTTTACCATCCCTTAAACTCTAGATTTTAAAATTCAACAACAACAAAGAGAGCAGATTGATGTGACTAGATTTTTGGTGGACTTGAAGTCAGGATATGAGCCAGTTAGAGAACAAATATTGGGGGGATCTGCTCTTCCCTCTCTTGAGGAGGTGTTTGCTCGACTTCATAGGATTTCACTTAGACCTATAGAAAACAATACTACTTCTGATAGGTGAGCATGTGTCGTAGCAAGAAGAGGAGGCCATGGAAATCGAGGTGGTGGTCATGGAGTTAGAGGAGGCTGTAGTGGTCCTATGTTTAGCCAAGGTGGCGGAGGTAGTGGTGCTCGAGATTTATGGGGAGGTCATGTAGAGGATGAGGTAATGGTCCTAGGAAGTGCATCTATTGTGGTATGAAGGGACATACAGTGAACTTCCGCTATGATCTACATGACCCACCTTCTTCATGGCCAATCATGCTGTAACAAGTGGTGGTGAAGCAGGTAATAACCAGCAAGTTGATCAAACATCTTCTACATTTGTTCCTAGGATAGAGATAATGAGTGTTCCCCGTGATGAATATGAGAGTTTTCTCCAGGCTACATCCCAGAAAAACACAACTACTCTTGCTCACTCAGGTATGGCTTGTTTGGCATCCAAACCCTCTCCTTGGATTATCGATTCTAGAGCCTCCGATCATATGACTAGGACTCCAAGTGCGTTCTCTTCCCTCTCTCAATCCTCCACCTCACACAATGTTACTTTAGCCATTTGTAGTGTTGGTAACATTGATGTTGCATCTTTATCCTTATCATCTGTTTTATATGTGCCTAAATTTCCTTTTTAATATTATGTTTGTTAGTAAATTAACCAAATCTCTCAATTGTTCCCTTTTACCCATCTTCTTGTGTTTTTTAGGATTTCAAGACAGGAAAAAAGATTGGTAGAGGGCATGAAACGGGCGGATTGTATTATCTTGATGGTGGTAGCCCTACAGTAGCACTTTAGTCTTTCCTTACTCCTTTCCAATGACACTGTAAGCTTGGTCATCCGTCTCTCAAAGCTCTCAAACTACTTGTTCCATCATTGAGTCGCCTATCATCACTATAGTGTGAGTCATGTCAGTATGGGAAACACCATCGGTTTCCCTTAGTCCTAGAGTCAATCATCATGTATTAAGTCCTTTTGCTTTAGTCCATTTAGATGTTTGGGGTCTGAATAGAATTGTGTCCTACAACGGTTACAAGTATTTTGTACTTTTTTTATGACTATTCAAGGATGACAAGGATTTATCTTATGAAAGAAAGAAGTGAATTATTCTCTATTTTTTAAAAGTTCCATGTTGAAATTTGCACTCAGTTTGGCATTCCAATAAAAATTCTTCGTTTTAATAATGGCAAAGAGTACTTTCTTACTTTGTTTCAGCAATATTTGGAGCATCATGGTATTATTCATCAAACTTCTTGTACATACACTCCACAACAAAAATGGGGTGGCTGAAAAAAACAACCACCATTTACTTGAGACAGCTCAATCCCTAGTACAACATATGAATGTACCCAAATGAATTCGGAATGATGTTGTGCTTACTGCTTGTTTTCTCATTAATCAAATGCCTTCATTCATTCCTCATGGTCATTCTGCACTCTTTATTTTGTTCCCTACTTTGTCTCCATTTCCTTTAACTCCTCAAACTAGGGGTGAGCATTCGGTTTATCTGGTTAAAAACCAAACTGAATAAACTGAAATTTTTAAAACCAAACTAAAAAAAACAAAAAACGAAACTGAAACCGGAATTTTCAATTTAGTTTTCGGTTATTTAGGTTAAAACTGAATTCTAATAATGTATATACTATAACATATAATATACTATATATTACAATATATATTATGAAAGCAAATTTCAATATATTATATATTAATACACAAATAATATAATATATTATACATTATATGTTACACATTATATACTACATAATATATATTACATATTATATACCAAAGTTCAGTGAATTCGGTTAACCGAATTTCTAATTCTAAAAACCGAAACCGAAAACTGAATTATTCAAAAACCGAATTAACCAAAACTCGAAAAAACCGAATCCGAAATTTCCAGTTCGGTTATTCGGTTTTAACCAAATTATGCTCACCCCTACCTCGAACCTTTGGTTGTGTATGTTTTGTTCAGAATCTAGGTCCTGGATTGGACAAGTTGGATGCTCGTGCTACAAAGTATATCTTTCTTGGCTGTTCTAGGACCCATAAGGGTTATAAGTGCTAAAATCCTCTTAATCAACGATCATTTGTTTGTTCTGATGTTACCTTTTTTTGAGTCAGTTCCCTTTTTAGTGCTGATTTTTTGCCCTCTTCTCTAGCGGTTCCTCTTCTAGTTCCAGTTGATAATGCCATCCCTATTGTTCCAATTGTGATTAAGCCTCCACCTCCTCCAGTGCAGACACATATTGAGAGGCCACCAGTCAAAAAAGTGTATACTAATAGACAAACACTGGTTCCTCCTCTTATAGTTCCTTCTCCATCGACAAATCCTACTCCAGGTGTTCCTACTCCGGTATTGCCTCTTGCTTATGACCTTGACCTTCCCATTGCTTTCTGTAAAGGTAAATGTAGTTGTACTCTTCATCCAATATCCAATTATGTTTCTATTTCTATCATTTCTACTTCCCATCGCAAGTTTGTTTCTCTTTTGTCTTCCATATCTATTCCTAAGGATGTTTATGAAGCTCTTACCTCACCAGGGTGGCATCAAGCAATGGAAGAAGAACTCTCTTCTCTTGCACACAATAACACGTGGGAACTTACTACTCTTCCCCTTGGTAAACATGTTTTAGGTTGTAAGTGTGTATATACTATCAAATACCTACTAGATGGCACAGTGGAAAGATCGAAAGCCTGATTAGTGGCTATAGGTGATTCACAGTTGTATGGGGTGGACTATATGGAATCCTTCTCTCCAGTTGCTATAATTAGTTCAGTACATGTTCTCATATCTTTAGCAGCTATATATGATTGGCCATTGATTTAGCTTGACATTAAAAATGCCTTTTTACATGGTGACTTGGCTGAAGAAGTTTATATTGAGCAACTTCTTGGGTTTGTTGCTCAGGGGGAGGATGGTAAGGTATGTAGGCTTAAGAAGGCAATTTATGGGCTGAAACAGTCTCCTTGATCTTGGTTTGACAGATTCAATGAAGTTGTAAAAGAATTTGGTATGAGACAGCGTCAGGTTGATCACTCAGTATTTAGCCATAATTCTGAGGCTAGAAAGATTTTTTTGGTTGTATATGTAGATGATACCGTTATAGCAGGCAATGACAGGTTAAAGGCCTTTCTACAAGATCACTTTCAAACATAGGACCTTGGCAAGTTGAAGTACTTCTTGGGCATAGAAGTTGCAAGATCAAAGCATGGTGTAAATTTGTGCCAAAGGAAGTGTGTTCTTGATCTATTGGAAGAGATAGAGTTGTTAGGTGCTAAATCAGTTGAAACTCCCATGGAACCAAATGTTAAATTGAGCATTAATGCAGGTGATGTGTTTGATGGCCCTGGAAGGTATAGACGTATGGTTGAAAAGTTAAACTACTTGACTATTACTCGACCAGATATCTCCTTTGCAGTTAGTATGGTCAACCAGTTTATGTAGAACGCACAAGTCCCTCATTAGGATGCAGTTCTCATAATTGTGTGATACTTAAAGGGAGCACCAGTTTGTGGGTTGTTGTACAGGTCAGGAGGAAAACTTGAAATAATAGGTTGCACTGACACAAATTGGGCTGGTTCAATATCTGATAGAAGGTCATCTACAGGATATTGAAACTTCCTTGGAGGAATCTAATAACGTGGAAAAGTAAAAAACAGACAGTTGTGGCAATAAGCAATTTTGAAGCTGAATATAGGGCTATCGCACACACAACATGTGAGTTGGTGTGGTTGAAAAACCTCCTACAAGAGATTGGGCTCTCAGTAAATAGTCCTATGAAATTGTATTGTGATAATCAAGCTGTCATCCACATTTCATCTAATCTAGTCTTTCATGAGAGGATGAAGCACATAGAAGTTGACTACCATTTTGTAAGGTTGTGTTTGGCTTGAAGAAAAAAGTAGGTAAAGGAAGGTCTTTAGTGGAGTGATAAGCATAGAGCACGTGAGTTCAGGAAACCAGTGGACAAATTTGTTTACAAAAGGATTGAGTTGTGGAAAAGTGGATTACATGCATAATAAGGTGGGACTATATGACATATACTCTCCAGCTTGAGGGGAGTGTTAGAGCCGACTAAATAGGGGCAGTTTGGCCTTTTATCTTCTCATTAAGTTATGCTTTGTCAATTTTTTCTTACTTTAAGTAGGGGCAAATTAGTCATTGTAATATTATCACATCTATATAAGCTTGGGTCGGCTAGGGGAGAGATTATTCTCTCCAGTCCAGACCGTGGTTCTCTCATTCTCTTCTTATTCTTTCTTTTTTTCTCTCTTCATTCAACCTACAACTGAAACACAAGGGCTGAAGTATTCAAACATAGGATCCACTAAAACAGCATAGTGCTGCACTATAACTCCAAAGTAGTAAGTCTAGAAAAATAATTTGTTCAAGGTCCAAAATCAATCATTTATTGAAGAAGTGAAAAATAGATATCAGCAAAAATAGGTTACTAAATCTTCTAATCCCACAGGGGAAGATAACAGTCAACTTCAACAGGACAAAGCTTTTGTCTAGGTACTCAATATAATAATCTCCATGCTCTATGGCATAAGTCACCGTTTGGGGTCTGAACATGATAGACATTAATTTCTTAGCCTTTGATTACGGCTTAGTCTTTTTTTTCATTATAATTCTTTCATATCTGTTCTTTTTCTTTTTTGTAGAAAAGTTCTTGTGATAGAATTGTAAACAATACTAACTTTTCCTTTTGTATAAATAATAGAAGGACTAAATTTTAGATTGTTGAATGAGTTGGGGAAAAAAAAGAGGTTCCCCATAGGCCTTCAGTTATAGCAACCATGATTGGTTGTTGTTTCTGCGGAAACATTTGGAGAAGGTTACTTAGATTCCTATGATGACTACCCTTCATTAGTTAGTAAAGCTTTTCTTGGCCCTTACCTTTGCCATCATTGTTATTTGTGCATGGAAAACACTATTTCAATTGTATCACAAACTTAGATTCGATTAATTCTGTTGAATGGGATTATACATTCTACGGTTTCTATCAGTGAAACATCGATGAAGACACACCCTTAAATGCTCCCCTGTATCGTTAATCAGATTTCGTAATGTTCAAACAATAGCTAATTCAAGCAGCAGATATAATCACACAAGCTTAACAAACTCTTCGCACACAAAACCAAAATGAACTTAAGCCGTTGGGGAGAAATTTGAGACATGTACCGCAACAGTAAGACCTCGAAAAACATCGAGAGAGACAAGCCGTTGGGTTGGATCGGTAGAACTAGGTTTCGCTCCACCTTGTTCGTTTGACGATGACAAAGGGATGATCTCGCCATCTTCTGAAATTTCTCTGTATGGAATAGCAGGGGGAGAAGACTGTGGAAGAGGATTTCGTCCTTCTTCAACCACAACGGCTGAGTGCATTTCTGTTTTGATGTTCGATCGGAGGATGGACTAGGAAATCAATTGTGTAACAACCACGCTGAAACTTGTCGTTGGTTATGCGTAAGTAGTTTTGGTTGGCGGTTGACTCCATTCCATTGTTCGGAGATTCCCCGTATCTGTCTCTTTCCACTTTTTACCCTTATCCCCTTGAGCATGGCATATGGTGAAAGAGGCACCCACCTCTCCTAATCTTTAAACTGGTCCATAAAGAGAAGAAATGCTTTTTTCACGGTTGATAATAGAGCCACGAAGTCATCAAATGGAGACTATCGAGCCCCAATGGCCAATGCCACATTGCCACCACTGCCACTAAAGACTTTCGGAGATGCTCGTATTAGGTTCCCGTTTGGGAGGGTAGGAATGCAAACGGGCGGGATCAGATTCAAATCGGTATATATCTAGAACATAGTCGAACCCATAGCCGAAACTGATAAAAAAATGCATTTGATTTGAATTCGTCCGTCCGATTTTCTAACCCTTATTTGAATTCAATTTGTACTATCGGATATCCAATAAGAATCCGATTCAATTCAATAATGGTGATCACTTCGTAGTTTTAACTCAATTTTAATAAAATTACAATCATTTTATCATGTGTTTTAAAATAAAATAGGGTATTTGAACGAAAGATAAAATAAAATAGGGTATATATATCTTCTTATAAAACAACATAAATTATATAAAAAATTAAATTACAAAATGTATATATATATATCCAAATCCTGAAGTGGTTGTCAATTCGTATTGGATCATAATCTGGTCCGTTTGGACCCCTTGTGAGGGTTATTAAGCTGGTTCAGCTGCTTTTAGGTGCTCTGAATAAATTATTGAAGCAAACACCCTACAAAATGCTGACAACCGATTTCAACTCTCTGGATTTTCATCAAATATAACTTAAAGCTGTCTATATATGGCCCACCTCGGATGGCCAGAAGCCATCACGCTTCATCCCTCCCAAACTGGCACTAGGTGTTTAAATACTAAGGTTGTTCACAGTGCAGTTTACAAAAGTCAAAAGCCATCGCGTTTCATTAAAATAACTATTTTTTGTTGGGCAATTTCTTAAAGTACTCCTAAGTTTTAAGAAATTGATTAATTCACCCTTATTATTTAGAAATTAACTTGAAGTACCTTTAAATTTTTTAATAATTGAAAAAACTATTTTATCCTTCCATCTTCTTTAAATTTTCAAAATAAAACAATTATTATTCTATTTTTACTTTTTCGACATCCATCGTCATCATCTTCTTATCAACAGCGGGCAGGTGCAATGTGTTTGGAACCTCCGCTTTCAATCTTTGTGGGCATCTCTCGCTAGAATTTCGACTCTCAGAGTCTTTCAAAACCCTAAAAAACTCCTCATATGAGGATTCTCTCAACTTCCTCTTCATTGACCACGTCGATGCTTCTCTTGACATGAGCCACCGACTTACGATACCTCTCACTGATCCAAAATAGAGATAACATGCCCTATTGTTATCAGTGGAGAAGCAGGACAAATCATCGTTGAGGAATTGCTGTTGCTGGGCTTCAAAATCCTGCAACATGTTGAAATCCTCGGCTGGAATTCTTCCTCCCAAAAATCATTGTAAAAGGTGGCAAAGGATATTTTAGGAATTTTCAAAAAATATATCAGTTAGTTATATGATAAAAGTTAATAATATGGGAGATTTTAAATAATTGTCAAATAATTTAAGGGTACTTTAAGACAATATATAAATAATAAAGGTAGAATTAGTCAATTAACTAAATCATAAGGATAGTTGAAGAAATTTGCCCCTTTTTGTTTTATTTACTTTTATAAATAATTAAAAATAAGAATATATATTTTTATAAAAAAATGTTGATAGATTCATCTAGTTTTTACCAATAGTCCTTTTCTTACCATTTAAGTCCCAAAAATAAATTATTTCATCAATCATCATCACAATGAAGCCTTATCCCAACTAAATTTATTTATGAAGAAACAATTGCTATGTGGGGTCGACTATATGAATCTTGTTTCACCCATATGCTTAAAGAAGAATAAATTATTTTATAATTTTAACTTCTCAATTATTAGAAAAATCCAAAGATCTACTTGTACACATATAGCATCATAATTTCAAGCATACCCATGCATCTCCAGCACCTAAACATGTCAATCCGGCAAGCAAAACTTAATAGATCAAATAAAAAATCCAAAAAAGACATTCCTTTCTTGTTTGGTAGGGATCTAGCACCCAACCCCACTTTCATTAAAAAGAATAGTATATCCAAGTTGTTTCGCTGTTAGATTTAAAGCCTAATCCTAATGGATGAGCTTCAATGGTTGTTCAAGGGGCTGTGAAAACCAATGGTAATGCCCCATGTTAGTGATAAAATACATGGATCCACAAGTAAAAAGTTAAATGGTTGTGGACCCATATATTTGATTATTTGCGTGGAGTTTTATTTTTGATTCTATAGCCTGCTATAAAACAGCTATTGCCTTTGGACTTGTTCACGGGGTCTGGCTTTAGTCCTAACTTTACACTGTTTTGGACTCGAGTTTTGGGCCAGGCCCATTCAAATTTTGACAAAAGCCAAGTTTGAGCTCGGCCCCATGTATAGGTCTAATTGTGTTTAGACTTGTTCGTGGGTCGGGCCGGGCCGAGCTTTCACTCAGTATTAACAGATTTTTCTAAGGCTCGAGTCCGAGCCCGGACCGACCATCGGGCCTACAACTTGGGCCTGAGCCGGGCCCTCATAAAAAGCCTAAAGCCCGGGCTTGGGCCCGAGCCCAAAATTTAACCCATACTGTTACTACTGTTGAAGTGGCAAAATAGAGAGAGAGAGAGAGAAATTATAAAGAAAAGAATAAAAAATGTATATATTAAATTATAAATATATATTTCAATAAATATTATATTATTTATATATTTTATTAATATATAAAATACATATTGTATATTTATAAAATATATAATGTTGAGTCGAGCCAGGCTTTTTTGTCAAATTCCGAGCCTGGCCCGAAACACAGTCGGGCTTACTGTGTTAGGCCCGAGGTCAGGCCCATGGGCCTAATTACATGACCAAGCCCGACCGGGGTGCGGGTCGGGCCATCGAGCTACCTGGCCCATGAACAGGTCTAATTGTATTCAGCTAATCTATACTATATATAAAAGTGTGAATGCAGTGTGGAACTCTTTTTGGACTAAAGTTACCCTTTATTTCTTTGTTTGAGAAAGGGTATAAAAGCTATTTTATTATAGTTCTACCGTCAGCTTTATGGCTACTATAATGGTCATATTTGTGTATTTAATCCATTTTTAATTGTAAGGGTTGCAAATGTAACTTCAGTTATTACTTTACAACTTTTTTAATCCCCTCTCATTAAGTCTTATACTTATGGTATTTAATCCCATTTTTTTCTTATTAAATCCTATATTTTTAAGCTATTGTTCACTAATAAATGCTACTAATTAGATCTATGTTAATATTTTTAATAATATAAACCCATATATTTTAAAACTGACTCAAAAACAAAATCATTCTTTGTCCAATTGTTGGTTAAGCAATTCAACTATCCGAATCAATTTTACCAACCTATGAAATCATAGTTAGGTAATAAATTTTTTTAAAAATAAATAAATAGAGAAATTTACAAAAAACTATAGAAAAAATATGTGTAATAAACAAGAATTATTTTTATTGATAATGAAAATGAAATACTTAATTTATAACTAACCAAAAATGAAATTTAAAAATTAATAATAAATAGTTCAACTTTTTTGTTAAATGTGTTAACCTTTAATGCCATAAACAAATAATAAAAATTAATAAACTATAAAAATACAAAAATGAAAAAAAAACATAAATTTGCAAAAAAAAAAGCATTTAGGCTCATGGATAATATCATGTACTTATCATATTAAACAAAAAGTAAGTATGACATATCAGAATTATTTTTACACACAAAAATACAAAAAAAATATATAGAAAAAATTGAACACATCTATAATTCTATATTTACACTACTATTAAAAATATGAATAAGATTATGGAACTTTATTTTGACTAAAATTAAGGTTTTGAAAACCGACCCAGAAACAACAATTTGGCTTCCAATTTTTGGGTCAATGGTTTAACCATCTAGTTTGAGTGGGTCAAATCGGTAAGATGTAAAATGCAATGTAACTTTTTATCTTGACTGTTAGATTAGGATTATGTTGAAATCCACCGCATATATACATTGTTATAACAGGGGAATGTGAGACTTTGAGAATGAGGCGGCTAGTTAAAGTTGAGAAGTGAGGGAAAAAAAAAAGAAAGAGAGGAAGAAGCGAAGCCGGAAGTGGTTGTCAAGATGTTCACCGGTTGTTGTTGCAAAACCGTTTTGCCTTAATGAGAAAAAGAAAAAGGAACTGCTGCTGACAGCTATCTCCATGTTCATCATCACTACCACTACAACACTATTTTCCCTCTTCTTACATATCTATCATCTCTTTAAATATCTCTCAAATCCTAGATCGCTTTTTTCACCTCTCTAATTCTCTAAATATAAGATTGATGTTTAATCTCCCATCTCTTGCGCATCGATATTTTCATTGGAATTGCATTTTTTTGTTGTTACAACTTTAAAAGAATCATATAAATACGAAAACCCAAAATCAAAATGGAAAAACTAAAAACCTAACTAATTTTGGCCATTGGGAATAATTGAAAAAGATTATAACATATGAAAGTTTATTTTTTCAATTTTATTTTCTAATTTTTATTTTAAAATAAATAAAAAAAAATTGGAATTAGTTTGAAAGCAACTCGAGAACCATTAATTGGGTTGAACATTTTAACGGTTAAATTGTCCAAGTCAGCGGTTCTTTGACCATTTCAACACTTTTTTTTTGTAAAATAGCAGTTCATGGCCAAAATGGAACCAATGATCTAACCAATTCTTAGGCCAAATGGTTCGACCGCTCGGTCTAGCCTGATTTTTAAAACATTGATTAAAATACTCAATTTTGAATTTAGTACCTATTTAGTTGTTAGGTTTAAATTGTAAATTGAACTACTATGTACTTTTCACCTCATTCAATTCCCTCTATTTAAATTTTACATGTTTTTGATAAATAAACAAAACAAGAAAAATATGCCAAGAAGATAAAATACTACAAAAAGAAGAGTCTAACCAAGCATAATAGCCTATCAATGATACGTGAAACTTC